CGGCGGTTATTAACGGTCGCACGCGGCACCTGCGCGTGGCGCTCAGCCCCTTCCCCCCAAGGCGGCCGCTTTGTTTTTTGTTTAGTTCTGGTTTTTGTTTTTTGTTTTGTTTTGTTTTCCCTGTCAGTTTTCCCTTTGCTTCCCTGCTCCCACAGGTTCATCATGGAAAGCCCCATCCAAATTTACAAGCCCAGCTCCCGCAGCGGCCAAGGCCCCAAGCGACGCAGGGAGAAGCTCAGGCACCCTTCTTTGGTGATTTTCCTCCCTCAGCTTCATGCTGTGCACATGTTCTTTGCCTTCGCTGCTGACCCAACCAGCACATGCTTAAATAAAAAAAAAAACAAGAAGTCATGACCAAAAAACAGCTTCACAGCCCCAATCAGAAAAAAAAAAATCCCCAGCTAACTGCTTGCTGAAAGGCAGCTCACAAAAACCCACTGCCCTTGCGCATGTATTTTGGGGTGAATTTCTCTAAAGCAAGTCACAGCCTCAGGAAGGTGCAGGCAGTGCGGCTGCAGGCCGGGCGCCCTCAGCCCTTGGCTGAAGCAGGTGCTAATTTTGAGCAAGATGATGTTCACCAAGCAGTAAGGAAGCCGGACGCCCACGCGCTTTAACTTCTCATCTGCAAAATCCCTTGCAGTATCTGTAGCCTCCCCCTCTCTTTCAGGGAGTAAAAGATCTCACTGACAACAGCGTTTTCAGACGCTTTGATAGATGTGACAATAAAGAAGGCCAAACTGACAACAGCGTTTTCAGACGCTTTGACAATAAAGAAGGCCAAGTAAATTCTTTACTTTTCAGGCAACCAAATTAGGCAGTACCAGTTGGCGTCTCGTTTAGAAGATGGTTTTTCTAGAAAACAGCACTAAAGAGCTTTCATTAAGGCAGGGCAATAAGTATGCACTGGAATGTGTCACTACAGGAAAAAATAAACTTCTAACCCAGCAGGTTTTAGGAAACATCCGGCATTTGATATGTTTACCCAAACCTGGCAGATTTTGAAGATACATTAGCCTAAAACATGACATTGAAATAGTCTTTCATCTTGCATAGCAATTGCAAGAGCAAAGGTGCAAAGTCAACAGCTTTCTGGAGACCTGCTTTTTTCTTCTTCTAGCGCTGCCCTCAGTTATGCAACATGTTAGAACTAATTTAACTGAGGCTTTAATCCACTTGAGAAATCCATCCGGTTGGGGAATTTGTATTTGCTACTAATAGCATGAGTAAAGCCATGTCAAAGATTGTGGCTAGTGCAGTGCTTGGGAAGAAGTGTGTGAAACTCCTGACAAAAACTTAGGGCAGCTACAGATTTATCTCCTTTAGAGCTAAGTAATACATTTTTCTTACTCTGTATGAAGAGAAATGCCAGGTTCTAATGCTGAAAATATCATCCCCATCTCTGTCATCGTACTTGTATAATCCAAGGATGTGTGAATCCAACATCATGTTGGATGCCCAACCATTTATGGGGGATGGACGGAGAGGGCACTAAGGCACTGATATCTAAGTCCCAGCCTGAGTGAGATGCTGCTGGGGAAAAAACAAACCCTGTTAGGTGTGAACTCACTCCACTTACCACTTATTTTCCTGACCATCCTCTGTGGTCCTTCCACTATGTCATATGCATCTTCCTTTCTTAAATGGGGGTCTTCAAAACTTGTTTACCTCTTGTGATTTCTTCTCCCTTCAGCACAAAACCTTCAGAGTCATTTTTAGAGCAAGATGAAGTGTGTCTACCTGCTCCCATAGCAAACAGTGACCTTTCCATGATTATTCCATACATAAAGCCACACCGTGAAGGACTATTTATGGCTCTGTCCAAACTCTGAACTAATTAACTGAGCAAAACACTGTTATTTCGTTACCATTAGAAGTGGTTTACGCCCCAGCCCTACGAGATGGGCTGTGCCATCTGCTGGCCGTCTGCGGGAAACTTGCCGACCTGCTCCCTTTGCTCTGCCCTTGAGCCTGAACACCAGCAATGCCAGGGAGGGAGTTTGGTAACAGCGCAGAAATGTTTCTGTTTTGTTGTTCCACAGCTTCAAGAGCGCAGGTCAACGGCATCAGAGGAGAGGCGGCCTCGCTCAAATGAGCAAACATGCACCCAGGCCCCTTTGTGTCATTTTGGCCTCCTGTCTGCTTCCACGATGCTCCCAGCACAAGAGGCCCAGGACTCGACACTTGCTTCCGACAGCAGAGTGCAGCTGGCCCCAGCTTCCCTGGAAAAACCTACCGCGGGACTCCAGGCTGCAGCTTCCCTTTTAAAGCTGTTACAATTGGAGAAACCTGCTTTTGGGAACACACTCGCACTCTTTACCTCACTTACGAGCCTTTTCCCTGCACTTCTGCGTGCACAAAGAACTGTATCAATTTCCTCATCCTCTGGAGTTTGTTGATCTTAACATCCTGCCGTCTCTGCAAGCATTTTGCTGTACAGAAAGCATCCATCCCAAGTGCTCTGTGCTTCCAACTTGCCCTATATATAAATGTTATGGCCTAGCATCCAACGGCCGCTGTTCAGCCCCAGAGCAGCAGCAGGTGAACACACGCAAGACCATTAAAATCTGTGGATTTGTCATTTCAGGATTTTGCCCCATATGTTTATCTATTGAAACACTGGCCCAACTAGACTTACAGCACACGGCTAGGCTTCCCACAGATCTGGGACGGATAAGGACAGGCACATCTTACCTTGAGATAGTGAACTACTGAGAGCTCTTTTATACTTTTAAGAAATGAGTTTTAACAATGATGTGCTCTTTCTTCACAGCCTGAACAGGAACTGTCCCTCTTAGTATGCGATCGTCCTGTGGCGGTTCCCATCAAGAATTTCACTGTGAGATTTTTCCAACCGAGACACATAAAAGTAATCTGATTGTTTTGGCAATTTATCTTCCAAGTAAAAACAAGGTTAAGATTTACCTCTTTAACCTGTATAAACAGTAAGTATGCTACACCTATAATAGCAGACAACAAGTAACACATTTATCAGAAATAAATATGTACAAAATACAGAAGAAACTTTGCTTCATTTCTCACTGAATGAGGAAGTATTAGGCTACATGGGATTTAAGATAACAGTTTTCTGCTTGCTTACTGAGTTCAACAGCTTTATGATCACCTAAAAATTAGTATATTCTTGTGAATATGAGCAACAGAATAGTTTAATTGGAGCAAGAAGCAGGGGAAATGCCATAACCATCTATCTCTGTGCCTCAACCCAGATGAACAAGAGTAATAGCGTAGAAAGGACAGAGAAGGCAGTGGCAGCTCAAAGAATCCTGTTCTTAATCTGCTTCCCAAGTCCCTCTGTCCCTCTCAGGTCCTCAAACCCTTTTGTTTCTCTCCTCGAAGTATCACCACTTTTGCCTCACACATGACACCTCCCAAAGCCACCATCACATTATGGAAAGATGACACATTGCAATAGAGAAAAACAACACTTTAACAGACAGGCAAGATTAAAAAGGGGCAATAGGGGGCTCTTTTTTAGAAACGTCACCTTCTGAAAAGCACGCTCTTAAAAATTGTTTTGTTTCCTTCAAGGATTAAAAACACAGTATTCTTTACAAAACTTTTATTGCATACAAAACTGCTACTCTGCTCCCTCAGAAACGGGAGGATAAGAAGCGTCATTGGAGCTTGCGGCTCTTCTTGACCCCGGCGCGGATCCCGGACAGTTCTCCGGAGTATCTGTGCAGCTCCCGCCGCACCTCGCGCACCTGGCCCTTGCGGCGGATCTTGGCTCGCCGGAACTTCTCCCGGTGCTTCACGCGGGGGTTGCGATCGATCTTCTTCCTTTTGGGGGTGAGGCCTTTGTTCTTGATCATCTGGTAGGTGACGCCCCTCTTTTTATTCGGGTCCTCCTCCTCCTCCTCCTCCTGCTCCCCTTCTTCCTCCAGCACATCCTGCTCGGCAGTTCTCTTCCTCTTGAGCTTCACCTTTTCCTCCATCATCTTATAGTACCGCAGGGCCGCTTCTTCATCCAGGTCTGACTCCTCTGCCAGCTCATCCCCATCACGCCGGCCGTTGGTAAATGCAGGGCCAAGTTTGGGTTTGTTTTTCTTGGCAGCCTGTGGAGGAAGCGCCGGGAACTTCTTCTGCTCTCGTGGTCTAACCTCCTTCTTGTCATAAAATCTTTTCAGAAGCAGACGCACTTGGGATGACAGTTTCTGATCTACCACAGCAAGATCATTGATGATGTTTCTGTAAGCAACCAGTCTTTCGATAACAGGGTGACTGTGAACCAGCATCCGCTTTGACTTTAAAACCAAATAGAAACTGATATTGGCACAGTAGTTCAGGTAGAGGTGGAACTTGGTCTGCAGATAGCGACTGCCTTTCCCTTGGGGGATGGTGCCGTTCTTGACCATCTGCAGCAGCGGCTGCAGCTCATCCTTGAGCTCCATCAGCTTCACCTCAAAGTCCTCGATGAGCTGCAGGAGTTCGGGGGACTCCTGCTTGAGCAGCTTCAGCTGCTCCTTCCTGGAAAGGGCCTGAAAATCCTTGGCAATCTTCTGCCCCTTGTCAGCCTGCTGGGCTTTCTGCTGCTCGGCCAAGTAGCCCTGGATCACGTCCAGCCCGAAGTCGTCCTCACCCAAGTCCTGCACCAAGCGCCTCTGGACGACTTGGGCCTCCTCCTCCTCTTCCTCCTCCTCAGCATCGAGGTCCTGCTGGCCACGCTTGGCCTTGGCCTTGCCCTCGCCGCCGTAGTCCGTGTCGTAGTAGAGCTGCTTGCGCTGGCCCCACGAGAGCTCGTGCGGCAGCTCGGCGTCCCGGCCGCGCTCCTCCAAGTCGCTCTCCATAGACAGCTCCCCATCTTCATCATCATCCTCCTCCTCCTCCTCCTCGCCTCCATCCTCCTCGCTGCCACCTCCATCCTCCTCTGCGCTGTGCTCCACAAGGAGCTCCAGCCCCAGCGCTTCCTCCTCTTCCTCACCGCCTTCCTCCTCCTCCTCCCCGTCTTCCTCCTCCTCGGGCAGCTCCAAGGCCAGCACTTCCTCCTCCTCCTCCTCCTCGCTGCCGCCCGCCTCATCCCCGCTCTCCAGCGCCCTCATGGCCGCCTGGAACCGCTCCTCGTGGAAACCCTCCACCTCGTCCGCCAGAGCCTCGGCCTCCACCTCGGCCCTGTCCAGCCCCGCGTCGTCCGGGCCCGCGTCATCCCCCTCGCCCGGCTCCTTCCCGCCGCGGCCGCCGCCATCCGCCCACATGTCCCAAAAGCACCGAAATCACAGGGAAAAAAAAAAAAAAGCGGAGCCCGCAGCGCACCTGGCACCTGCCCGCGAGAGCCGAAACGCGCTCTCAGCGGGCGCTGTTTTAATTTAGGATCGCAGGTGCTCTTTTATTTATTGCTGCTGTATTTATAGCCGCTTTATCCCCCACACCGCACGGAGGAAGTGGGGGCAATGCCGAGATGAGGCCTGGGCGATGGCGGGACGATGGCACTCGCGGCTCCGCGGGGGTCCCCGTGGGTCAGGGCGCTCCGAGACGCCTCGTGCCACAAACCCGCCCTGCTTATCTGGGGCGTCCCCCTCCCCGTGTGCAGGCCTAAAAGAGGGAAAAAAGCAGCTTTTTAGGGTCAAGGGGAGGAACAAGGGTGAAACGTCAGGTCACGGAGCGCATTAGCAGCCACCTTCTGCATGGGCGTCCCCTTGTCGGTGTCAAAATCACACGCAGCTTTCGCTGCGGGGACTTCAAGAAAACCAGGCCTGCTCTGTCCCTGGTGTTTTCCCCTGTAGCAGCCTTCATGGTGCCGTGCCCTCAGGTTTGCTGAAATCTTCCTTCTTAAAGCCTAGAGCCTTTGTGACAAAGCGGCTTTGCTTTAGGCTTCGGCAGTTTAGATGGAATCGGCACCTTGCGTCTCCATCCAAGGCTATTTCCTATGGTCAGAAAAAAAAAATATCACCTGGAGACATTGTGATCTTCTGGAGGGCCTGCTGGAAAGGCCACCGGCTTGTGGGAAGGCTGGAGACCACCCCCCATTTGAGGCAGCTGTCCGTGTTAGGAGGACCCACTGGAGCTGATCCGCATGGGTTTGCTGGGAATGTCAGCAGGATCTCTGCTCCCGGTACCGTGCTCGGTGACGAGCTTGACGTGTCACACAGTAAGAGGAAGGGAATCCATGAAAATAACAGTCTGTAAAGTAGATCCTCCCCCGAAGAGCTTCGAGCCTAAGGGGAAACCCCCAGAGAAATGCAGGTGGTTCAGAGAGACTGAAAACACTTCTCCAGCCACCACGTACAGACCAAAGTGGGAACAGACGTGCAGGTTTGGCACCTGAAATCCAGGGACGCTGAGCACTGGCAGCCAGGGAAAACCACCAAAATCAACAGAACCATGTAGCAATCCACTGAAACCACAAATCTGCAGACTCTCCCCCCAGGTTAAAGTACTCGCGGATGCCTCAGTTTATTTTTTAAACATGCCAGGTTCTTATGCATGCGCAGAAGCAGAACTGGCCAGATGCAGCCTCTTTTGCATCTTCTCGACTCTGCTCTCTGCCTTGCCCCTTCTTCTACGTTTTTTTTTAAACTACAAGAAAGGCAACTGAAACAAATACTGCTGTGGACAGAAAACCCCCTGCCCAGCTGTTATTACCCCGGTTTATTTATAACATTCTGCAGGAGGTGGGTCACAGGGAGCCTGCTCCTATGCTGCTGTTCCAAAGAAAGCTCCACACTAAACTCTACCAGCAATTCTTTCTAGTGGGGATGAGGGGAAAAAAAAGACAACAATGTGGTTTTTGTAAAGATGCGGCCCATTGAGAGAGCAGGATTTGGCCCAAAGAGTTACGGCAGAGCTGGCCCAGGGTCCTGCATCACGATCCTCTGCCGGGGCCACCTCGTGTGCTGCTGATGCAACCCCAAAGCTTTTTGCATCATGCGACTGTCTCTGGAGAGGTTTGTGTCAGGATGAAGCTCAGGACAGCTAAGAACGAGTCTGTGAGCAGCACGGCTTGTCCTGCCTTCCTTCTGCCATCACTGAAATGACAAGTGAGGGAGTGAGGGGATTTTATTTGCTGCTATAAGGTGTGTGGAGGCCTTGGCCACAAAGCAGTATTGAAGACTGGGCTTCTCTTCAAAAATGGCCTTTTCTGTGCAAGGCACATGTATGTCCCACAGGGACATCCTGGCCCTTGCAAGTTACCTAACAATTTGTCTTTCCAGTGCTACACAGGCAATCCCAAATTTGGGACAATGAAAAATGGATTCTCCAGCACTCTCTCATGTTCCAGACTAAGTGCTTCAGGAAGACTTTGCTTGACTGGTACCTCAGAGAGTTTAAAATGCTCCCCCCTTCCCCGGCAGTCAGTTGCCACGAGGTGACACAGCCATCCACGAGCAGAGCAGCCCTGTGATGCTGTGCAGAGTCCTGGCTGGAGAGCCTGGCCCAGCCACTGTCCTGCTTTCCCTCTGCCACTGCTCATCATGTCTGCTTTGACTGGGAGTGTATCAGGGGCAGGTCAAGCTTTTGGCATATGTTTGCATGGCATCTGCTGGCCCAGAATATTCCTGTATCATGGGTCAAACAAGCCCCAAAAGTGATTTAAAAGTCTATTTCCCCTTGGCTGTCTGGACACTTTCTGCCTTGCAGCCTTTGCTCCCAGCCGGGAGAGCACCAATGCCGTTTCTTGGTAGCTGGCCCCGCGCTGGCTGATGCTGCCCCCCCTTGCACTGAGCAGAAATAAAGACATGCAGTAATAGTGCAACCCCCTGCCCCCATCCGCTCCTGAACGGCAGGACGCTGCGTGCAACAAACCATCGCACTTGCCCGGTTTCAGATCACCAGCCACATTTTCCACAGTGCCGGGGCGAGCAGGCTGGGCTGTTTAATTTAGGAAACACACAGCTGTATCATTTGCACACGCCCTTATAGGCAGGCACAGGTTCTCCACGCGCGTTCTTCAAAAGAAGCCACGGCAACATGAAGAGCGCTCTGGTGCTGTGGGTGGCCTTGGCCGTCTCCTTGGGGTCCATCCTGGTGGAAGGTAGGTGAGATTAAAAGACCAGGGAAAACTGTGCTTAACAGCAGCCACAGATTTGGTATAATTTACTGATAATAATTTTAGCTTCAGCAGTTGAACCTCAGAGCTACTCAAGTCGTGCTTTAGTGCTACAAATCTGTGTTCATCATGAATTACATCCCCCTTGAGGTTCCTCTAACTTTTCGCAAAGGGCTTATTACATATCCAGGCAGCTCCTTAACAAGGGTTGTTTCCTGGGATGTGCGATTGACTGCATAACCCATTAGCTGCAACTGGAGAAAAGGATGAGAGAGATTGACTGTTGCATCTGTGCTGCTTCAACCGAGCCCAGTCTGGTCTTTTGCATTCACAGTCATGGCTTGATATATACGTACCTGTGTGTACGTGTGTGTGCCTGCATGCTGCTGACAGGAAAGTAAAATTTGAATTACCTGCATCTATAGCACTGACATTTGCACAATTTGTTTTGAAATTAGTAGCTGCTTGGTCTCTCTGGACATCTTTCTGCTTTAAATAGCCACTTTGACATTCTGCACAGTTTGAACTGCCAGTTTTGGAATGCATTTGCTTCTTGAGGACATTGCATTTTGTTAGGTATGGATTATGTTGGGCTCCATTCCCCTGTATTGCTCCGTAACACAGTATATTATAAGATAATCCAATATTAAAAGATGAGACAATTTGTCGAAGTATCTCTACATAAGTGTCCCTAAGAGGGGGAACATGATACTGCAGCAAGACATGCAAACAATTAGATAGGCATTAGGAATTTCTGTATTTAACTGCCACCTTCTCCCTAGAGTGCTTTTCTAGGAGATACTTCATAGAATCATAGAATGCTATATTGCATGTCTTGCTGCAGTATATACTTGGAGTCTTTGCTGATACACCTCAAAAACCCTAGTCCCAACTTGGTAATTTTAGAGGAAAAAAAAAAAAAAGGAACTCCTGTGTGTTATATCACTGCTGAAAATCTAAGTAGATAGAATTACATACAGAATAAATTCAAGTGAGTAACTTTAGAGTACTTGCCTTACAGTACATCTTCCTTATATATTCATTAAGCAGTACATTTACTAATGCAATTCTACAAATAACATGATTTAGAACCCAGTAGACTCCTGGCTTTGCCTGGCTTTAAAGACTGGCTTTGGATCAACATCTTGAGCGAAGAATCATGCACAACATGTATAGAACACACTGGCAGGCACTAGACAGATATATGCAAAAGAAAAGAAGATACAGGACACCTATAAAAGAAGAAATGCCAAGTGAGGCAAAGACTAGACGGGCTTTTCTAGGCAGTATGTGCCTCATGGGGAAAAGTCCATGCTGAGTGATGAGGTGGCATAGAGGAGACATGCAAAGACTTGGTGGAGGGAGAAGAGGTACAAAAAGAGACAAGCAGCATTAAACCCTGAAGAATGATCTTCTTTACAGCCATGGCTCAGATATGGTTGTGCATTCCCACCTTGCTGGGGCACAAAGCAACCAGCCAGAGGTTGTGCAGGTGACAGGTTGTGCTCCCTGCCGTAGAGACATTTAAAGGCAGCCCTTTGCTCCAAAGAGCTAAGTGGGCAAACGCTGCAAAAGGACCAAGACTTCCTCAGAAACCACCGTGTGCGGCAGCAAAGGAGGCAGCCAGCCTGTCCTGCAGTGCTGGCGTGTCCCTCCAGAACAGATTGCTGACAGCACCGCGGTGCACAGGACTCGGAGCCCTGTGCTCAAACAGCTGACAATACAACCTCAGCATCTCCTCGGAGATTCTAGTGCAGAGATCCTTTCTGGGGCAGGGGCAGCAGGAAGAGAGATGCAAAGTTAGTGATTTTAGTTTAATGGAACGTTCTGCTGCTCAAAGCAAGGGAGCACAGTACTTTCCTTCCTGATGTAAAAACCCAAGTGAACCTTCCTCAGAAGGGATTCAGAGTGAGCAGCATTTGCAACCACTGTATAAATTGTGAGATCACTCTGAAAACTACTTTTTTTTTAATTTCAGCACCCAAGTAATGAGGGCTGAGAGGGTGGAATGGAAGTGGAGGAGACCAGCGTGTTGTGGAGGCCATCCAGCAGCTTGAGCTTGGCAGCATTTAGAAGTAGAGAGATCAGTTACTGACCATGTGAGAGGGATGCAACTCAGCTGTAGAGGACTTGTTAAGAACCAGGAAACAGGAGGCTGTTGGGCACAGTAAACTGGGAGAAAAGAAGTTTTTTCCAATTCATCTAGTTGCTCAGGGAGAAAATAGGCATTGCACACCAACAGTGACAGCAGAAGAACCTGGTGACAGACAAGAACTTTCCCATCTTATTTTGACTGAGTTTCATTCTGAATCATGCGCTAAAAGTGAGGGAGACAGTCATACCCTCACAAGACTCTCCTCTGTTTGAGTAAGCAAGCCAGCTGCTAGATTGAACTTCATTAGAAGCAGACTGCCAGGCAAGGTGAAAGTTTTCCCTTCAAACCACTTGCCTCTCATCAGCAGGGTGGCAGACTGCCTTCCCACACGGTCCTGGGGTGCTTTTCAGCATTTGTCCTCTAAGGAACCTGGGGAAAAGGGACCGCTGCAAGATATCAGACAAGACCAATTGCCACATTGGCAACTTTATAGATATTTACAGGATAGAACCAAACCTAGAACCCAACTACTAGAATAATCATGAGAAGTGATACAGAAATTGGCTAAGCTTCCCTTGAGGCATCTTTTCAACCATTATTGCCTATGCTTCAGAAGGCACTAGAGCAGCAGAGTAGCCAGCCTTGTTTCACTCCAGGAATTGCATGAGCAGAAGCCACTACCTAGGGCCCAGGCACACTGGTGGCCTAGGAATGAACCACAAATATTGGATACAGACAACACTTGAGCTGCCAGTCGAAGTGCCAGGTGAAGCTGTAGGCTTCCTTGGGTGCTTTGCCTTGTTTTGTAAGAAATCTTTGCTCATTTTCCTCATTCCAGTTTTCATCTCCATGCAAGTGAGCAGACTGTAGACTTAGCATCGCAGAGACTGCCCTATGGGCAGTGACCTGGACTTGAGTCAATTCAAAGGCCTGAACAGCAAAGTGCCTCAGGGAGGTTCTCAGCACTTTCCTTGCTACTGGAGCAGCTTGCAAGAGGTTTTTTCCTGACGCTGGGATTACATATTCTGTACTTGCAGGTTACCCACAAGCATATGAGGATGAGGAGGTGCTGCTGGTCAACAACAAGTGTAAATGTGTAACAGTGACCTCCAAGTTTGTCCCCTCTAAAGAAAACCCTGAAGAAGAAATCCTGGAGAGAAACATACGCATCATGTAAGTGGCAGACAACTCTCACGTGGGGACCAACAGGGTGGCAGTGTTGCAAGGGTTACCCCTTTGGTTTGTATTATTTGACATCTACTGGCATTTAAGGTACAAACACTTTTACCCACAAAGCACGGGGAAAATGACCTGAATAAAGAACAAGAGTTGAGAACATGTCATACCAGCAAAAAAAGTAGTTTGGGCTTAACCTGCAGTTTTCACCAGAGTACTTCTCCCCCTTCCTTCCTCTAGAGTCCCACTGAAGAGCCGAGAGAACATCTCCGACCCCACATCCCCCGTCAGAACTAAGTTTGTCTACCGCATGACTGATCTGTAAGTACCCTTGACACGATTTCCTAATGCTTACCCTCCCTGCAGCATTACCCATGGCAGCTCACAAACATCATGAGGGCCCTAGGATCAAGTAAGGCAGAGTTACACAGGACGGTTCTCCCTAGAGAACCCAGCTCTCCTACCTACTCTGTTACAATACATTAGCCTTAAACCAGTGCTTTCTTCCAAGTTCAGTTAATCCTCTAAAGAACTCCCATAGAAAACTCACACTTGCATGGTAGGTTGCATTCTGAATCAGAAAATTACACTTTCTGTTTCATGCTTTTTGGAGACTTGCCTTATGAATAGTGTTTTGACAAAACTGTGCAGCCAGAGTGTGTTCTTCAAGGAGCTCCTGTACAAGACAGGAGACCTAGAAAGGCCAAGCTGCCAGATCAGTGAAGAACATTGAGTTTAATCAAGGGTGTCTTTTAGCGACAGCTTTTCAACTTATACTCCCCTCTCTTTTCCAGATGCAAAAAATGTGATCCTGTAGAAATTGAGCTGGGTGGCGAGATCTACCAAGCCCAGCAGAGCACCTCCTGCGACGGTACGGAAACTTGCTACACCTACGACAGGGACAAGTGCTATACCACAACCTTCCCTTTCCTCTACAACGGGGAGAGGAAAATCCTTCAAGCAGCTCTGACTCCAGCCTCCTGCTACGCCGAATAGCTCAAAGCATTGCTGTTGATTGCCTCATTGCATTCTGCTTTCCTATCACCACAGTTATGCTAGCAGCATTGTAGCTAGACAAGAGCATCTGAAATGTCAGCTCCAAGAGTAACACAAGCTTCCTCATGTTTCTTTTTAAGCATCAAAAAATGCTTTTCCCCAGGAACAGCTGCTGGTTCTCAGAGATTGTTCTTGCAGTCTTGGCACATATTCATGAAATTATATATATCACACACTATCACCCTATACATTTTCAGAAGGTGTGAATGAGTTCAATTGCCTTGAAATCAAAGGAACTAAACTGTTTAACAGCAAAGGAGCATTGATCTATTTTGACAGCCTTCAATTTGCTCCTGTCTAAGCAAGGCCGTTACAGACATCAGCAGGAGTGTCCGTGTTATCTGCTCTCCTGAGCACTCTACACGAGACCTTGGCACAAGCCTGGTGGCATGATTACAGTTCTGTTGTACAATCCTACTTGAGAGAGAGAAGATGAGGGCAAAACTGAGTGACTATTTCAAAATGATTGTGAAATTATTAAAAAACCTCTAGACACTTGTAGTGCCTCAGTAGTCACAAGCTTCTGGTTTTCACATACTCCTAGAGAAAATTAAAACATGCTGCTGCTGCTCTGAAGTATCTCAAAGGCGTCAGGACCTCAGGGGTTCCAAGAATAGCAAAATCATCAGGGACCCATTAAGCATCACACTTCCTATGCTCATGTACTGATTGTGGTTCAGTCTTCCACCCCTGCTCCTAATTGAATGGCTGTCGTAAAAATCAAACTGGCTCGAATATCTTCATCCTGATTTTGTATTCACTTCTGCAAGAACTAGGCCCTACATGGGACTGCATTCACTCTGCCATCTGAGTTCTTTATGTAAGAAATCCACACTGAATAAAGAACCTGATTCTGTATAATACATTACATGCATATGAATTTTAGAAGGTATTGTCAGTACATACATCATATACTGAAGTGCATTCCCCAGCATTACATTTGGGAAGACTGGTATTTTTCTCACCCTTCTTTAAAGCCAATTGTAAAACCTTAAGCGTTTCCAATGAATTTTTTATTGTCCTAGGGCAGTAAGAGCAAAAACCTGACATACGTATTTTGAGCTTTGTTAGCAAAACATGAATAAATTTTTCTGCAGCAGTCTGTGTGTTAAATTCCTTCATGTTAAAGGCCCCACATGAACGGCTTGGTTTTCTAGGAAAGCAGCATTCATTCTCTCATCTTTTTTGAGGGAGAATCAGAACTGCCAGCTCAGGCCACCCATTCTACCTGGATTGTGACACTGTGTTCTTGGTTTTGATGCTGGGTTAAGAGCCTTCCTTTCAAGAGAGCTTTGCCATTTTGCCATTCAGGAGAGTACCGGGAGACAGGGCTTCCCCATGTATGCACATCCTCCTACCAACTCAGTTCACTATATCTTCCCAACTCAGATTAACTTTTCAGCTATATTGAATACTTGACTATTCAGCCTTTAACCTAAAATTAATTGTTGTATACCCTTAAAATGGCTATTTTATCTGCTTACAGAGTGGTTCTGCACTCACCTGCTCTCAAGTCTGTCTTCCTTGTCTGAATCTGTCCAGAGTTTGGCATGCTGTAGGAGTTTCTTGCCTTTTTTAAAAAAATAGTCCTTTTGAAGGCACGCATATTTACTTTTATAATCCTGCTTGCAGTCTAGGGAAAAAAATTGCAAGCAGTTACTGAAACTTGAATACATGAAGCTGAGCACAACTCATCTTGGAGCTCAGACATTGTTTCACAGTAAATAAACCAACACCTAAACAGTTCCTTACCAAGAGGAAATGCTGAGCAGCAGGACAAATAGCAGCTGAACTCAGGTGGGTCAAGTATTCTGCAAGAGAGCAGTTCCTGGAGTGTAAAGGCTTTATATCTGAGAGATGCTGCTCTGAAAAAAAAGTCTGTTGGACACTGTTGGCTAAGATGGTTCCTTCATCATTCTCTTGCTTCTGTTCATCTCTGACACACTGGTGAAGCAGAAATAGATGTTGGAGGACATCTGCAATGCCATCTACCAACTCCTGCAGCAAACTTGTATTTTTATCTCCGCCATGAGGAAACAGAGCTATGCAGGAATACATTTGACTTATCTTTAGATATTTCTGGTATATTAATAGGTAACAGGCTATGATTTTTTTGATGGCTTCTATTACAGAGAACTATGTCAGCTTAAATTCTATGCATGTTCAATCGTTCTACAGTACACAAAGCAGTACAGTTCTCTCAGTCAGCTTTCAATTTTTCTCTAGCTATATAAATTGCAATCAGATAGTCCTTACAGAATTCATAGAGAAAGGACGGCTTAATTATATTGTGTAAAGCAGCAAGCCCATTTTGGATACTCAGAAAGCATCTAACTGTGGACAAGCCTCTGGCTAGAACATTGCCATTCAGAGTCTTCAGTGTCTTCAAGCTTCAAATCACTATTAAACTTCTTAAGCGGTTGGTCTCTAGACTTTGACAGTCCATGTCTAACCTCCAAACTTATCTGGCCACTGCTGCAAGTGAAGCGGACACTAACTTGAAGTTTGCTCTGATGTGAGATTTTTCTTCTAGAAGCAATTCAGCTACCGCTTCCTATTCATTTCAAGAGAACATAAGAGATTTTTTTTTCTTATTCAACAGTTATGGAATGATTTGATCTATTTCTTCTATGTCTCTTTGGACATTATTTGCAAGATTTGGGGGCTTCCTCATGACCTCCACCACCATCTTCCTCAGACAGCATTTTCAGAAGGAACTGAAACCAAAGATTCAAGATGTAAGCATGATAGCCTGAAGTAATGCTTAATGCAGAACAAAGTCAGTTAATACAAGAGAAAGGGTAAAAGCATCCTGTACACATGCTGCTCATGGTAGCAGGTGGTTCTAATGACAGCAACCCCCAAACCCAGCAAGATTCCTTGCTGAGTTCTTCAGAGAGGAAACCGCATTTTGGGCACTGTTATCCACAGGTAAGGTACTGTAGGCTTCTAGCACCCCTGCTAAACAAAATCCCTTGCAGTCATATATCTCAACTGACAGAAATCCACCTCGGACTCTCACACAAGCTCCAGCAGGGAGACACAGGTCCCTAATCCAGCTAATGGCATCACAAGGACCCTAAAACAACATGGTAAAAGCAACAGGCATACTGCATTGGATGCACAGACAACGCCCTTGGCTGCTTCTCCCAACTCACTTGAGGCTTTCGGTAGCCCTTTCTCTCCAGGAATTCCTTGAAGGCATGTGCGCTGCGGGGCTTTGGAAGTTCCGTCCCCTAAATTAAAGAGATTTAAGTCACCTAAGTTAACTTTTAAGAACAGCTTCATCAGGCCAAATGAAACTAGTCTACATGTGCAGGACTCTCAAAACTAATTACTAATTTTAAGCTGGTAACAACCAACTAATTCAAAATTGATTTGCTGTTTTTAAAGATGCAAGATGTCTCCATAGACTTGGATGGTTTTTAGTCATTTTTCAATTACAGCTTGAATCAGATGCACGGGGCAATAGAAAATGGTCCTCTCCCTGCCAGTCCCTCCTACTCCCAACATCTTTGTGAGGGAAGGCTTATTCTTTTCAAGATTTTAAACACCACCACCACACTGTGACATTCTCCCAGTAGGAGCTGCAACAAAAAAAATGAAGCAAAAACACTACTAGTCAGATAAGTTTTGCCTTTATTGTCAGACAGTAGTCTACCACCGCAGTGGTGCTCCTCATTCAGCACACCTTTTGCACACAGGCAACTGCTTTGGTCATGTGCAGCTCCCTGCTTTTACCTTTGGAAGGGCTGTTCTCTATAGCATTAGAGAAGCCTTCTGCTTCCCTATGCTTATGTAGCAAGCATGAAGATGGGATTTGTAGGCTTATATACCTTAAAAGACCACGGCTGGTGCCGTATATGAGAACTCCTGCCAGCAGCCCAAGGAAGTGAATCCTCTTGGCCCTTTGACTGCTCTGCTTGCATATTGTCCAGTTGCACAACACGGAAAGGTTTAGGGGATGGGGTCTTGTTTCCACAGCTGGTGCTGAACAAGCTCATGAGAGCACCTTCATCAATGCTGCAATTCCCTCCACCCTGCAACAAGAGCCAGAAGACAATCTCAAGATTGGCAAAGACAGAAAGGTTTTCCTTCCCACTTCCCTTCTGGACATGTATTTACTTGTATTCCATATACATCCTCCCTGCAATGCTCCAAAGGTGTATATTTAAATAAGCCCAAGGCCAGTTTGAGATTTTCTACAAGTATATTTGTATTAACATGATGGCAGTGAGCAGGAGGTATGCCTGAAGTCAATCCAGAACTAAAATACTAACTGGTGCATTAATGTCAGGTCAATAAGGAATGCTTCAAGCTGGGACAGTTGAACTGATACAGTCATGCTTCCCAGGAATCCTTCTCAGGCCAACTTAACACCTTCTGCTTATCCTTGCTTTACGTTTCAATAGACTATATCCTGTAAGCCACAGCATGACAGAGCTGAAATTGAGAAACAAGGTTTTCTGACTTGGATTCACACAAAACCATATTTTTACTACCCAAATCTGAAGACTTTTTTTTTTGTATAAATGAGGCCATTGGTTTCTAGAAGGGCAGGTGCTGACCGGTTGGGGGGTTAAGTTCCCTCCACACACACTGCCTCTGTCTCTTCCAACTTACCAATGTAGTAACCCAGTCACAAAAATGCTTTGTCACCCGCTTTATGTGTTCATCAAGGAGAGCAAAGCTGTTCAGCTCAGCCACCTTTTCTCTTGCTGATACTTTCTTCTTGGAAAACCGAGTGCTTGTGTTTTTCCTTTGGGACTCCTTGCTGCTGAGGAAAATACAACATTTTGAAACAATGATTCACTGCAGCCATAACTATCAGTTCTAGAAAACAAACTAAAGCAGGACCCCTTTTTTTCCCCCCACATAGAGCTTTGGATCACGCTACAGTTTACCATGAGACACAGTAACTTTTCTTGCATGGAGTAGCATAAGCTATTTGAACTAATTCTAGGTATCAGCTTCATAAATAAAGCTGACCAACATACCAACCTTCCACCTACCAACTAGCAAAAGCATTTTCAGAAACAATTTCCAAAGTAACCTGCAATATCCAGCAGCCCTCAAAGTCATCAACTACCTCAACCTGCCTCCTGCCTCAAACACTGAAGCAATTTAAATAAAAAACCTTCAAAACCACAAGGGATGAGAAGCCTTTCTGTAGAAGGTTTGGCTTTCACTGCTTGTGTCTGGGAACATGCCTGCCTGCATGAACCTGAATTTCCTTTCCATATATCTCATCTTGGAGCAGGGGAAATTCAGAAAGCTTTTAGCATTGCTTCCCATCTCATCCTGAACTCACAGTGGTTGAGTCTGGGGACCTGTTGCTTTGCTTTTCTTGCCCTCCTGCATCTTCTGAACCAGCTGGCTCTTCTCTTCATAGTAATTGCATCCAACTTTGCCACTCAAATGCACTTCAGGATACAGGATTCCAAAGACCTCTGCAAAGAGCTAGAAACCAACCAAAAAACATGCATTCAAAAAAAAATTTATTGGTTGAAATCCTCTTGGAGCTATGCAAAAGGCTACTTAACACTGAGACTATGGCAGTCTCTCTGCATATCGGATTCTTTCCAGGGTTCTCAAGTATTCTTCCTCTCAGTTCAACCCCTTTTTATGGGACCTCCTTGCCCTAGTAGCAGGAGTCTGGAGCAGAGAACCCTCTTGTTGCCTGGCCTTGAAAAACAGACCAGGGACTCAGGACCTTTCTCTCAACTCTAAAGTTTTTCCCAACAAACTCCTTATTTGAGCTAAGCAGTCACATGCTAGGTTAGTTTTCTGTTCCAGCTCTCTGAACAATCCTTGTTTAACTAGGATTACAAAAATCATCACTTTTGGAGACATACAGTCCTACAAATGCATCTGTTAAAGGATAGTTGCTTAGTCAATACTCTACCTGTGCAACATAAACTCTCCTGGTTTGCTGCAGTGGACTAAGACTGGAAAGACAAACCTGTGTTTTGCCTTTCTTCCTTTCCTTATGTTCAGCTGTACACGAAAATTTAAGGGCATTGTTTTTAAGGATAATTGGGATAGATCGTTTTCTACCATACACAATCATGTTATCAGATGAAGGAGGAAAGCCATCTCTGAAGTCGTCTAAGCCCTTTTTCAGGAATATCCAGCGCTGGCCATTAAGGGAATCTGATAACATCAGTTTGCTTTCCCGAAAGTAGTTTGAAGACATTTTCTTAGGACATCTGAAAACAAATTACATTTGAGAACACGAAATGCATTAGCACATCTCCTGAACATTGAGAGTATAAACAGATATCTGACTGCAAGTATATTCGCCCACGCTGTCCAGTGGTTTATCATTACTCTGCTTTAAATGAAAGCTTAGCAGCAATCAACTGTTCTGTATCAGACAACTGCTAAAGATCAGAATTCCTTTCCTACAGAAGTTGCTGACACTTTAATTTTTTTAAGTAAAATCCTTAGGAACTTTATAAAGCTGTTTCCAAGTATACATTGTATATACATATACCACATGAAAAGAATTTCAAGCTTAGTTTTGGCTATTCCAATCATTGAAATGTAAGTTAAACAACAGTCAGAAGCACAAACAAAAGGCTTAATGCTATCAAAGCTATGCTCCCTGAGAACAGCATTTTCAAAAAAATTATTCCATCGGGCATTCTTTTAGTGGTACAATCAAGATTGCCCTCACTGCTCAGAACTGCCTCACTGCAGTTAATTGTAACTTGCTCATTTCTCACTTATTCCATATGAAATCTTTGACCCCTGGCCCGCCAAATTAATCTAACATCTGCAGTTAAACAGCCTCAGCAGTTTTACAGAACAAGATACAAGCTGGTAAATTCATTTCATTTTCAAGAGCTCTGACTGTTCAGGCTGCAATTTAAGGTGACTCAGGTTGTTGCAGGGGGCACTGAACCCCCATTCACAACTGCTGTCTTCCATGACTTCATACCAGTGTTCACTTGCTAAAGCATAACCAAGCTGCAGAGCATACAAGCTGTACATTACAGAATCATAGTTTTCCACTTGCCCTAGAGGAAGCATCTGAATTAGTAATTACAGTACTAAGTCATTCCTAAGATGCTTTTGAATAGAACAAGAAATGCAAACAGAACAGCACATACCTGATATTTTCAGGTTCTGAAGGTTTCACAGGCAAAAATGGCATTTTATTCCTCAATGCCTGATATACAAAGGGAGACTCAATGTGCAAGAAAAGCTCAAGTTAATAATGGTGCAGTTTTGCTTCAGGCAAGGGCACTGGTTGTAAGTCCCAGATGATAAAACACATTGGGTATGTTTGGATTTGGTTGCTGTGGAAACCAGGCCTACTCTATCCGCCTACCGTGGCACCCCCAAGGCCCGCAGCCCCGTGGCACTGGCGCCCCCAAAGGCCACCTTAGTCACACATAGTCCAACACAGATACAGAAAATTCCCATAGGCCATGGGGAATAACTTGGAAATTAAGCAGAGCTTGATTGCTTGAAAACACAAGCAAATATACAGTAAATATCAGTACTTGGTTCAAGACCCAACAAGCCAGGTCCTTTCTGCTGATGAATAGCAAGGCAATACTTAGCCTAACACGCCTTTAATAAAGCCTCTTGAACATTAATCACCACAGAACATATGAAAATCAAGTTTGGAGGACCAGATCTGATCTTCCAAGGTAAACGACCAAGCTTCACATGGTTTTTATTACAGACAGATGAATTCCAAAGCAATAATCCCTCGAGAAAATTGGAATACAGCAGAGTAGGTCTCTTCACCAGGGTGTGAAACACATTGTACTAATTCCCGATCCGGCTGAGGGCAGCATTTGCTTCAGGAAGAGTCTGATCTGTAGCTCCAATCCTAGCACAGTAAAATACACAGTAGGCTGGAACATTTCTCTAGCCTCCAGCAGCAGCGCAGGCAGCGGGCACCCCTCAGCTTCCCGGGCTTGTAACCCAGGAAAGGCAAAGTCAAAGTGTAAAATAAACTCCTTCACTCCTTCTCCCTAAAACTGCACATGGAAAGGGAGCTTCCAGGTTCAAAAATCAAGTCCTTGAGAGAAGTACATACTTCTCAGCCATTTTTTTTGCTTATATAACTGAATGATCAGTTACTTGTATTGAAAAACAGCACATACAGAAAATAAGAGACTAGATAAACAAAGCAAAGTTCTGTGTTGCTTGGCATAAACATTCATTTAACTAAGGAGAGGAGTTTCACTTTCAGAATTCTGCTTTTCTCACTATTTCAAATAACAATTACTTCCCCAACAGCAGAACAGTCACCCTGGAAGAGATAGAAAGGGGTTAACCTGAAAAGTACACCAGCACCTGCTGGTTAAGTCAGGGGAGTCTCAGGGAACTTGCCTAAACCTGAATAGTTCTTACTTTTTTTTGTTTAGACTGGCATTTATTTTAACACAGCACCTTCCCTTGCCCCATCTATACAGTACCTAGTGCACTCAGAATTAATTAATAACCAGCTACGAGTGTGCTAGGAAATAGGGAATGACAACAGGATCAAACCAAAGCATTCACTCTCTATAGCCATATTGTGAAATTGCTTCCATCCTTAATATTAGTGCATTTCTTGAAAAGCAGAATTAGCAAAATCTAGAATATGTTAAATACTGTCTTTTTTCCCCCACCTCAAATTTACATTTGAAGCACAAGATATTTGATAGTGCCAGGAGTTAATTACAAAAAGAAACACTTATTTCAAAAAAAGTCTACCTTATTTGTTGATGTAGCCGGTCCTTTCAAGCTCAAAATGGCAGTGTCTGTCAGAAATACATATTTTAATTACTTATCAGACAGACAGTTAATAACAAAAACAAGAACAGAAAAAGCTTATTATCAATAAAGGGAAAGCCTTACATCTGGATAGCATGACCTCTTTCAATATCGGAGAAAGAAACCACACAATAATTAAAACGCCTTTGCCCTCAAACTGTGCTTTACCAGTTCGACAACGCATGTTGCACAAATACAGAACAACAATAACTGAATAGATGTTACACAGTAAACTTGTTATTCATATACTTAACCTAATGGACATGAACAATCTTAGTGGAACTATATTCCTGTGTCTTAAAAGCCCCAGAGAGACTTGACAGAAAGCTTTACATATATTACCATGAGTGTAACTAAAAACCTACAAAACTGAGTGTTTTACTTATCTCTCAGCATTACAAAAGTAACTTTATTTTTAAAATATATATATAACCCTTAAAAAAAATAGAAGATAAGCTTTTTCTTGTGTACCTACAGAACACATTCATATTTAAAAGCTTTATAAAAGAACACAAAATATGCTATCAGATAAAACATTTATTGACTAGCCTTGATTTTATACAGGAAATCATAACAAAAAGCTTAGTTAATAGACTAAGTAACAACTTTATAACATCTACAAATGTTGCATACATAGGCAAAAAAATCATACATAGAAGAAAAACACAATTTCAGAACTTATTACAATTGTGAAGGAAACAGCAAGTAACATTGATTCTGCAGAAACAAAGAGGAAACTAGAAAAGTGCCCTTCGATTACACAGTACAAGCATTGACAAGCTTCTGCTTCCCATCTCCTCCTTCCCCTGTCAAAGGGGAACAAAACAAACAAACAAACTTTACACTCTTTGTGTATAAGGGAGCAACACACTTAATGAACAAAATGATTTAAATCATGCTCAGGTTGATCAGCTCATGGAAATCAGACCAAGCACAGTGCGAGAGGGAAAGGACTTGGATTATAAATAGTTACGTGGAAAGTTTTGTGTTTTGAGTAATTTTGATTTCTTAGAGTTAGTATTTTGGTGTGGGGGGTTTATAAAATTGTTTTTGCTATTTTTGGTTAAGCATGATTTTTTTTGTTTCATACTAATTAAAATTGCAAGTGAGTAGATTACATAAGTTTTATGGGGATGAAAATAAAAATCAATTAATTCGTAAATCTCTCTAAGTCTCTATTTATTTTGTTTTGTGTTTGTATTAACTGAAGTTAACTTTTAAAATCAATTATAGCAGTAAGAATGAGTCTCTTACTAAGAGACTAATATTTCTTAGTTTACTTATTAAAAGCAATAGATAAAGTTATTCTGGACTCCTAACAATGTGATCTTGATTTCCCAAATGTATTTTTTGTTACTTGAAGCGTGTTTATATAAAACTAATTACTGGACACAAGATCTCTTAAAATCCTTTGTAAGAAATCCTATGCCATATTAATCACGTAAATGCAAGCTCTATGTAGCAAATATTCAGCTGCCTACAGAAAAGAAGCTCTAAACTTTGTTGTCTTCAGGAGGTAAACCAATAAGACACCAAAGTGTTTTATTTCTGTTTTTTTCTCTCACTTTTTGACAATTATCACTTTGCTACTAATTCCTGTAAGCTGGTCACTTGTGGGATGCAATGCAGAATTCCTTGTTAGAAGCAGGGAGAAAGGAGGCAGTACTACTCCTAAGGTACTCTACATCTTTCCAAGGAGACACAATTTTCCTGCACTTCTTAAATTTGTTCTCTCTTACCTGCTCTACCTTTTCTGGAGCAGAGGTGTCTTGGTAAGTGTCCATGAGTAGACTGGATATATTAAGAGGGAAAAACAGGTCTGCTGGGAATGAGCAAGACTTAATGGCAAGTATAAAAAAAGCTTTAGCTTCCTCCTGTTTTTTGTTTTGTTTTGACTACTGAATGGCTACTGTTTGCTTTATAAATATTATCAATAAAAAACCCACATTATTAATACAAAAGAAACATCATGATGGTTACTTTGAAATTAGGACTGAGATTACCTTCAACCATATGAAGTGGCTCTACTAATTTCCAATTCTGCAGTCTCTATAAGTATGGGAGCAGACTGTGCATCTATATTCTGGTGTCCTGCTTGTTTTGGTCAAAGCCTTCCCCTATAATGGCAAGTAATCTTTGCTGTCAGCTCCCCTGTGCCTTGGAAAGGCATTCAAGAGTATTACAGAAACTAAATTCCAGCTATCATGAATAAAGCATTTGTTCTTATTCTTTGCTTCAAGATTGTGATTTTTTTAAGGGCAATTCAAGGTAAGAGAACAGAATTTAATGAATGTTTGGCATCAGGCAAAATCTTACTTGGACATAATTGTGAAAGTATAACCTGTAATATGAAATTCATATTTTGTTGCAGAAAAGTATAGAGTTATACTTTGTTACTGCTATTCAAGTTGTACTTTCATATGGTAATTGCTAGAGTAAGAAATTACTGATTAATTTAAGGTTAATAGGGTCCTTGATCCTTCTGCACCCATTTTACTGGCTGTACTTAGTTTGCTTGCTCCCTTATCCCATTTTGAACTCATATTTGCCCAATATATGAGAGGAAATGAAAACCCCTGTATCTGTTTCTTGTGGAGAGAAGCAAAAAAAAAGGCTGCAGGGAGGATAGATTGAGTTATCTTAAACTACTTTGTTCAAATAGCTATATTATCTGAGTACTCTTTATGGAAAGAAAAAGGAATCATTTTTACTGGTGTCTGAAGGCCATTAGATACCTGGTGGAAAGGCAGAGCATTTGTTTCAACAGTCCTGAAAACCAGGCTTGGTACACTTTTATAGATTGTGCTTCTGAACAATTTAAGATCTCAGATTTATTTTGTCTAGAAGTCTTTTATTTCCTGCACAGGAGACAGACTATGTATTTAAAGATATACTTTGTCCACCCAAATTGCTTAAGAAAATGTTAACTGTTCCCTGAAAACACTGCTGGTGACTGTATTAAGATTATGAGCCTTTTAAAAGCAGAGATAACATGTGTTGAACATCTCATTGATTTAGAAGAAACAAACTTGGTGGGGGGCAGTTTACCTGTGGTGGAACAAATAAAGGGTTATAAGGACCCTGATATTCCATAATTATCCTTTAGGCCACGTGAGAAGCCACCTGTGTGACTGCGTGGCTGAAAGGCCGACGCGGGCGCGGGCTGGCAGTGCTGGAAGGCA